CTATCATCAACCACCACTTAAAATGATGAATCTATTAATCTAATCCAAGAAAGACCGAGGCTGTCAAGGGTCCCACCAGTTCATTCCCAAGTCTCTCTCTGTCTGATGATGAACAAGCTTGCAAATTTTGCGTGGTTCGTTCTACCTGCAATCTTTTAGGCTTTAACAAAAAATGATCAGCTTTGATTGATCTGTGATGTAGTAGGAAGAAAAAAGCTTTTTGAAGGGATTGACGTGTTGAGAGGCGTCGCTGGAAAGTGATGCAGTTGTCCCTTTCTGCATGTTCCTATGGCGGTTCCCACTTGACTGTGACTCCGTGTTTTGGTATTCTTCTGTTGATTTGAGCTCTGTTTTGTTAGCCCCTCATTATTTTGCCACTAAACTATGTCTTCCTTCTATTATGAGTGATCCAAATTTGTTAGACTTATCTTCTTCCACTGGTTAGACACGTTTGGTTAGTTATAGATGTAGGAAGCTAATGCTTTGAAAAGAATAAGCACTTTATATATACGAGTCATCTGCTCAAACCGACTTGCAGGTATATATTAAGAAAAGTGTGACAAGTGTATATTATTTTTTTTGTATTAATTTAATACATCGGTGTGTTAATAAGTATAGCAACTCAAGAACCGGATTATTGTAAGGTTGCCAGCAAAATACCTTTTGTTGTAAATTTTGTAATTATGTGTCTTATATTTGGCGCTTAAATATTTGATTAACGTGGATTAATTATTTTGAAGAGCATTTCCAAACTAAAACACTGAACATGTGTGCTAAGAGGGTTATTTTAGAAAACAAATGAAAAAGATAATTACTTTTAAACGCAATTTGATGAATGATGATAAACCAAGAAGGTTTTTTTCACTTGTTCATTGCATGATTAGACGGATAATAATGAGAAAATGATAAATAAAGATTTTATAAGAATATTAATGTTAAATTAAAAACTTTAGTACTAATAAAATACTGAAATTTAAAAATATCAGTGTTAAAAAATTCTAATTTAGTATTAATATTTTTATAAGGCTTTTATTTATCATTCTCCTAATGATAATCTCTTCTTACATCGACACACATGATGTTTTTTGTCTGCATTATATAGGACTTTATATTTCTTTTAATGCTTTCAAGCTTTAAACCATTGACATTGCACACATCTTTTTAATTTTAATTGGAATGAGAAATTATCAATTCAAGTTTCAATGACTCTCTAAACTAGGAGATAATGACAAGTAACACATCGAAAAGGTCTTGTTGGCTGACGTACTTTTATTTCATCAGAACAACGTTCGTGCATATTGGAAAAGGAAATTAAATGTGGATGAAACTTGCAAAAAAAAAAAAATATATATATATATATATATATATATCACATGCCTATGTATCTATATGGCTGGATTTCTATACTTTTCCGGTTTTCGCGGTTCTTCGGAAGTACGGGGAATGGATAAAACGGTCATTTGAATGGGTCTACGATGAGAGAGCATATGACACAGTGCCGGCTGTCCCTACATGATTAAACACTTCGTCTTCATTTAATTGATAATTCTGAGGGGAACCAACTTTTCTGGAACTTTCTTGACTATTTTACCCATCTTCTGACCACGAAGTACGTAGTCCTGGGATCTACTCCTCTAACTCGTTAATGCAAGCCAATAACCATTCACGTGGTGTTCAAGTCAAAACAATTAATTAAGGGCCGCGTGGCAGCATCTTCCATGCTCTTATGCTAATTGAATACTAATTAGCGAATTCATTTGCGTCTTGAGATCTAAGCCCACAGTCATTTCATGTTCCGTCCAATTTGGGATTCTATAATTCATTTAATTTAATTAAATAAAACTATAGTTGCAGAACTTTTTAATTTTTATAGCTGCCATGTTCCGTCCAACAGTTACGTTGCTCTTTGCTAATGATGACTTGCCATCAAATTCCACGATGGACCGCCTTTCTGGAGTTTGATTGTTAATGAATAAATTTGAGGTTGCTACACTTCGACTTTCCTGCCTGAGATTGTGATTTCTTTTCGAGTTTGCTTAAGTTTTTCATTAGCTTAATTTATGTTAATTAGATTGTTATTCTTTCCTAAAAACAATGCCCAAACATTTCATTTTAATTTGTGGAGAGTTCACGTGCGTTAACAAGAAAAAACATAGCTTCCGTTTAATTCCTGACCTTTTTAATTTCTATGTGAAATTTGACTAATTGATAAATTTGAGACACAAAAATATGGAAGCAATATCGAGCAGGATGATATAATATGGAAAAATAGGGCGAGGGTGATGACTAGGATTCAAATCCTGGTAATATAATATAATAACTGATGTGAATAATGAGTATATATTGCTATGCTCATCTTATTTCTCTTTAATTGTTTTATTTCTGGGCCACTCCATGAGCGATGACGTTGATGCATGAGAAGCAGTCCAGTCTTTTCCGAAACGAAGTAACCCCCTCTCCCTAACTTACATCTCTTAATCTTGTACCATTCTTTTTTTTATGAGTTTTGGTGTTTTGACTAACCCTGCCCTTGGATAGCTGTTTTATTTACTGTCTGGCTTAGTTTTTCTCGCATTATCCACTTTCTTCCTTTTTACATTTGTGTGTTTATCGTCTGCTTGCTACAGCCCATAGCGAGGACACTATTTTGCCTTCAGTGTAGTAATTGGGGCTGTTTTTCTCCACTTGAACAGGATTGAAATCAAGTAATTAAACTATGCTGATTGACGCCCCTTTGATGATATGCCACACCTATTTACTGATTGAGTAAAATACGTGTCGTTTTATATTAATTTTCAAATCTTTATAAATATATGCATTGTTTTAGAAGATATAATAATCAAATTGTTTTGGGACTCATACAATGCTTGGTGCCAAAGGGTCACAACTGAATTATTTGTTTTCGTTTTCAATTAATTATTCATTTTTCTTAATCAATTATTAATTGTTTAAAAGTTCGAATAACAAATATCAATATTTTCTTTTGGGTTCGACGTACGTCCCCAAAATATTCTGAACTTCTTATTATACCAATCCCTTACATTTGCGGGCATCCATCAATAAACACGCACATGTATAGGTAGATTACACTTGAGCAGTATGTGCTGGAGACACATGCAATGTGTTTCCATCTATTACACTTTTTTTTTTTGGTTAGAAAGAATTACTCCAGTCATGTATATTAGGCACCTTCTAAAAATATAATTTGATCTATTTTGTAAGTTGTTAGTTGATGAAATTATTTTATTTTAAATTAAAATTTTTAAATTAATTTTAAAAAAGAGAGAGAGAGACAAAAAATAATATTTTTTTAATTTTTTTACTTTTTACTTAAGGGTTATATTTGAAATTTTAATTTCTTTTATTTTTTTTATTCTTATTATATTAATATTGATGATACTGATATAAATAACCTATGAATAAGACCCGAATGAGAATCATGCATTGTTTGGCTTCTTTTAATAATTAATCAAACTCAGGTGAAGGGCCCGTATCATCCACAACCAATATATAACAAAAAAAAAAAAATAGAGCATGAGAACAAAAGATTAATTATGAATTTTTTTAATATTTCTTTCTTTGCTTTTATTTTATTTGCATTATGATTATACCCCGTTAATGTAAAACTAAAAAGTGAGCCTCTTGTTGATTTGTTTTTTTTTTTTTTTAACGTTTAGGTTTGATATATAAGACTGAATTCAGAATTATGCATTATCTATTCTCTTTGTTGAACTTTTCCCCACTCGCATTAAAAGGCTTAAAAAGGTACATAGTGACAAAATACATGCTTTCCATGCACATGTTGAATCTATATGTAAGAGTATATATGAATTGGATTTTCCAAAGATTAGTTGTCACAAGTATGAATTTGTTACTGTAAAATACGGACGATGTTTGATTAATTAATAATTAATCAACGAAAGAAAACAAACATTGCATAATTGTTTTTATTAGGAATAATGAAACTTTAAATTCATCGAGTTTATCTCAATTATTAATTTTATTTTTTAAGTTTAATTTTTATTAATTTGATTCTTTATATTTCCTCAAATTATCATATAAATTTTTTAAATTTTAAAATATAAATTAACTCTTAAAATAATTTAATGTATAAAATATATTAATATTTTGACATGTATATATAATTAAATGAAAACAAATTGACTCTCAAATGAATTTAATTTTTATCAATATAATCCCCTACAATATATTGTTTCTCTTGTTTTTAAAAATTTCAAAACCTATTCTTGTTCTACCTAAATAATTATATTTTATTAATTTAAACGATTGTTATTAATATTTTATTATCTTATAGTTATCAAATTTTAATAGTATAATCTCTTTTTTAAATAACAAGGGATAATTAAAATGAACTTAAAAAACTAAATAGATAAAAATTAAATTTAAGAGATTAAATTAATAATTAAAATCAATTTAAAAAATTAAAAGTTATGTTATCCCTTTTTATTATATTTATAGGTATCTCCTTGTTGAAAAAAAAATGTTGCACCTTTCTAATTTCTAAATAAAGATTTGAACATTGATCACTACGTCATGAAGGATCAGTTTCTTTTATTAGATTTAACCCTTATCGGGGGACAGTTGTTTATTCATTAATCCTTATATCAATTCAACTTAAAATATAATTAGAATTTTTAAGAGTAAGCAAGAAGTATTATGCATTATCAGATGGGGCCAGCTTTTGCCTTTTTCCATCAGCTTAGATTTAACTATGCAGTACGTACACATCCCCACACACTCGCGACTTACCGCAGATAAGATTACTGTACGACCACGCTTCCCACCACTCCTCCTCCTTCTACAATTACTACTCATTAATTTTAATTTACTCTCCTAATAAACATAAAGTAATTCAAATTACTGATTCTGCACATCAACTTTTATCATGGCCCATTAACTTAGAGAGAGGTCGATTTATTTTTTAACTGCTTGAAGCAGAGCCCTCTGTTGAAAATGGCGAGGATGAGTGAGTGACCCTCTTCTTCCTTGTGCCTATATATAATGCTTACACTTTCTCAACCAACATTCTCTAAATAACCGGCCACTCCACCACATACAAAACAACATCATGGCCGTCAAGGAATGCGGTCACCATGACCAAGACGACAACCGTCTCGTCCGCCTGGTAGTTGCCGGCGTCGCCACCTTCATTATCCTCATCCTCTTCGTCATCTTCTTAATCTGGGTCATCCTCCGACCCTCCAAACCCCACTTCATCCTCCAAGACGCCACCCTCTTCGCCTTCAACCTCTCCTCCTCGCCGGCAACACCGACCGCCATTGAACCTCCTTCTTTAACCCCCAACACCATCACCATCACCATGCAGGTCACGCTCTTGGCTCGCAACCCCAACGACCGAATCGGGATATACTACCACAAGCTAGACGTGTACGCGTCGTATAGGAACCAGCAGATCTCGCTGGGCACGATGCTTCCGTCGACGTACCAGGGGCACAAGGACGTGACGCTGTGGTCGCCGTTCTTGTACGGAACGGCGGTGCCGGTTTCGCCGTACGTGTTGCAGTCTCTGACGCAGGATCAGAATGCGGGGGGAGTGCTGGTGAACGTGAAGGTGAACGGAAGGGTGAAATGGAAGGTCGGGTCCTGGGTGTCCGGCAAGTACCATCTCTACGTCAACTGTCCGGCCTATATCAGGCTCGCCAGAGACGGGATCGGATCGGCGGCCGCCGCCATCAAGTATCAGATTATGCAAAGTTGCAGCGTCGATGTTTAATTAATTAGCCCAGAGTAATTCGCTTACTGCTACCTAATTCCAATTAGCTCGCAATATGGTTACTACCTTCTTATTTCTTCGATATTCTATATGCCATTTTTAGCTCTGATTGAAACTAATACTCATAGTCTGGGTTGTTCCGAGAAAATCTTGTGAAATTTCCCCTTTAATCTTATTGATGGATCACAATTAATAGCTAGTACTGTTCATCCTATGCTCGTAAAAAAAATAATAATAATAATGTATCGTCTTTTAAATTTTGGACTGCGTAGATAGCGAGAAGAGAAATTAAATGCGAAGTATTTATAGAAAATCATAACAAATGCGGAATTGACATCTTTCGAACGAAACAAGACGCGAATCGCATGTGATGTAATCATTTTTAATGGACAACATTTCAATATTTTTTGGAGTAATATGACATTGTTTGTTGGTGGGCTATTAATTGATGAGAGGACTGTCATCCATGTGGACACGGAAGATCAGATCATCAGAGGCTACACGTAACAGGCGGTATGACTGGAATTGAATTACATGGGTCCGCCATGTTAGTTGACTCTGAGGTCTTCTGGTGCTAGGGAATCACACATCGGATCCTTCGCATTTACATCGTCATTGAAATTTAAAAAGATCAGAGCATCGTTTCATTAATTTATTCTAATATGAGTCTCTACGCTCGCACATCTTTTGGATCGTGTCCTCTGTTCACTCAACATAATATGATACATCAATTCCCATAATCCCCAGTCGTTCATAGACATGCGTTTTCAGTATACAATAAAGGGCTCTCAAAGAAAGTGACTACTGGGAAATGTAAATCCTCGATTCCGAGTGAAAATGAAGATACAGGGAGAAATTCTCGTCATGTAGGTGGGAGAGAGTGAGTTTTTTTGTGGACCACAAGATCTGTGAATTAATATGAATGAATATATAAATAGCAATGTGCATGAGGTTGAGTGAGAAGAAAATTTTCATGGCGGGGCGAGGTTTATTTTAATCCAAGCTTTTTAAAATGTGTCTCTACGCATTCTAAATTGGAAGGTGGATTTAACTTTGTTTTACCAGCTTCCACCTTACCTTAGTGCATGGACCGGTATTTCTCGTGATTTTTTCACCAAAAAAAAAAACTGTGTTATAATTTAATAACAAAGGACTAAATAATAAGAGTCTCTATAGAATAGAAGGACTTTCTTTTTCTCTGTAAGACTATAATAATGTGTGCTTAGCGCTTTGCTTTATCCGTGATAGTTCGAAGCAAAGAAACAGATAAGGAAATGTCGTGTTTACTCATGCAACATAAACTTCTAATTTAACATCCACTTTACCATAACAATAACGAGAGCACGCTCACAGAAACACGAGGGTCAGTTATTTTACTTTATTGATCATCCGCAGTTTCCTTGTATTCCCCCCTCCCCGCCTTCTCTCTGCACACACACACATAATCATTTTTGTTTTTGGGTGATAGGAAAAGTCTCTCAGACTTCTTCTGTTTGTCAACATTGCAAAATCCGCAGTATCTAGTTGACAAAACCAACTTTAAAGTGGACCAAAGGAAGGGAAGCAAAAAAAAAAAAAAAATTGGTGCACACACATGCACACACGGTGGATGCAGATCCAGTATTGATTGGGCAGCCCCAAGAGATTGATTAGACTTGATGTGAGTTCAAATTTCAATTTTGGGTTGCATGTTTACACATGAGCAACGATGAAATAACAATTTTATATTCTTCAATAATTAAAGTGAAAAGTTGAATTGAAAACCAATCTATACAGACGCTTTCTTATCGAGGATAATGTTGGGCCTATGCTAAACTGAAAGCCCAGTAGTCTGGAGGGAATCTCATCTTGACACTTTTGATGCCTGTTAATTAATCCTGTGATAGGAAAAATGTATATACTTAAGATATTTATTTTTAATTAAATTAATATATGTAAATGTCTTATATATTATTTATTGTATAATAAATTTCTATTATTAATACCATCAACTCACGTGTTTTAATTTGATTAGATAAAGGTACAAAAATATACCTAAATTTTACCTTGTTATGATTAAGGGACACATAAATATAACGCAACTAATCTAGCTAGCGAGCCAGTGATATTCATGTACCATGTTCTATGGACCATTCTTGTAGTTATACATCTTAAAACAACCACGTGTCCGATGGTTTCGTACAAAATCTTTATAACATAAGGCACATATCGGCACTCAGAATTTAAAAAAAGAAAAGAAAAAGAAAATGAACAGAGAGCTTCAACACAAGCAACTCTCGTGACGTGCGCGTGGAATTGGATGCTTATACACACACTTTGTAAAGTTTGACTGATTCGTGATTGATCCTCGTTCCTGGGCCGAAGTAGACACTAGTTCAGCCATTTATCGGCTGAACATATGGGCTTAGTTTAGTTTTATGTACTAGGGTCAATTGTTTTGCGTGTGTTGGTGTGAGAGTGAAGATCCCAGTAACGTGAGCCAAGTAGACTTGCCTGTAGCTAACTTGTGCTGCCTGTGTATATCTTCAAGGGACTGTCCCGAGTGCTTTGTCATCGTCTCGCACCTCCCCACTTCAACCATTTATTTAAAGAAAACTAGTTTTGCTTTATTCGCTCCTTACGGCAAGCAACATTACCCATGTTTCAAAAACAAGCTACTTTATTTGTTATACGACTTCCACCCAGCTTCTTGTTTTCACGTGTGTAAATGAAACCTGGTAAAATTCTATGGGACACAGAAGAGGAACACGATCAGGCCCATGTGATTTAACGGTGGCTAGCCCGGCCCATGAGTGGTCCAGCTGCACGTCTTCGGCACCACGTCAAAATCCCGAACCGATGTTTATAAGCCTGCGTCAATATTCATTACTTAATTACATGCCTTTGAGTAAGTGTCAGATCATGAAATACTATTGGTACATCATATGGATGTTTGTTGCCCACTTCAAAAGGATGTCTTCCTTCGACTCTTGAATGCATGCAAATAGAAGAAATGGATGGTGTCCAATAAGTAGCATCCCACCTTATTCCAATGATTTTAGTCATTATTTTATTACTTAATACACGCACGAACGAGTCTGGTGACGAATTAATAAGGTGGCAAAAAAAAAAAATCATGGTCCATAACGAGCTTATGATTTCGTTTTTAAACTAATGAAAGAGGGAAGAAGGAAAAAACCCACACAAAAACTGGGATGGTTTGTAATGGTTGCGACTCAAAATTTGATGAAAGAGGAAAGAAGGGCTCATTGTCTAATCTTTCAGAAGGCATGGCTGGAAGAAGTCTTAGGCCACGTGGGATTGGCGCCGAACCCAAACGGTTGTGGCAGCTGCTGAGAACGTTATTATTATAAAATGAATAAAGTAATAGAATAAAATTTGCGATTTTTTTAAGAATTTTATTTTTATTCAGAAGTGAATCCTTCCCTCCATATCCATATCCGAACCAAATTCCCTCCTCCCTCCCTCTCTTTGTTCCGTGCTTTCGTTCTGTGCTTCCCTTCCCTCGTTTTCTTCCCTCTTTCTCTCTCCCGCTTTTTTATTTTCCTACTTCCCAAACGCCCAGATCTCTCATCCTCTGCCCTTTGCCTTCCAATTTCGCTGCACCTTACTCCCAATCACCCTCTGACGTACAATTCATACCCAAAAGCCCTCTCGATCCACTATCTCCACTCCCCGCGAAAACCCTCTCTACCCAACTTGATCTTTGCTCACTGTTCGTTTCTGCCTGCTGGATGTCTTCCTCCTCCCATCCCCCCGACCAGATCATTCACTCCATGAAACGACAACTCCCATTCTCCTCCATGAAGCCGTCCTTTGTTGCTCCGGCAGATTATCATCGCTTCGCGCCCGACCATCGCCGACCTGCTCACCAAGAAGTTGAAACCATCGTCGTTAAGTCCCCTGTGAGTTTCCTATTTCTCTTTTTTCTATATTGCTCTTCGCTTCCCGTTTTTAGTTTCCTCTCCCGTTTGTTTGCTTTCTTGTAGAGATCTGCTCGATCACGACTTCAATCAGTTGTCGAGTTTGAAATTTATTGAAATTTGACCCAAGATTAGTTCCTGAGGTAACACAGGACTGCAGTATAGCTTTGTTTCGCTAAGGGATTAAAAACCCTTCGTAGTATTTCTCGGTTCTTTATTTTTGGGCATTAAATATTTGCATTTGATTTAGACGTCTTTTCAAATGAAGTAATTAGAATTTTCGGGCTACTCCGCCTTGTCCGTGTTTGAGTGGTAGCGCCCTGAAATTTTGGGCATACTTACATGTTTGAATTGTTTGTGGTTAGCGGGAGCATAAGCCTGTCTAATAAGCATCTGGAGCGATCGATAGTGTTTGCCGGTTATTTCATTAAGCCTCCATTGTAAGAAGTTCCTTGTCTTGTACTCGAGAAATGAATTTTTCAGCATTATCCTGGTTACTTAATCAGCAGCTGAGATCATAACGTGGTTTCATTATACAGGTCATTTCCACATAGAATAGGGTTAGTTACCGGGAAACAATTCAGTATATAATATGTCTTACTCTTGAAGATTTTTCATATCTAAGTAGCCTTTAGTTCATTTTACCCAGCACGATATATACCTTTAATTCCGTCACATGCATGTATCCTGGGAATTAGACCATGACAGTGGAATCCATCCATGTGTTCTCGCTCAACACAGTCTGAAAGCTGATTAGCCTAGCATTGACTTCAATTCGATGCAATTCTTCACAGTTCTCAACTCCCCCGTACATCATTTTAGTTCTTTATGTTTCCCTTTTCTAATACAACTCTAACTAATTTAATTCCTGGAATATATAATGTTAATTACTGTATCAGCAATTGAAGCGAAAGATTACCACAGCCAATTCTGAAGCTGATTCCGTTGATAGGATGAACCCAGGATCTAATGAAGCAGCTAATAGCCCCTTTCAGACTCCAATGTCAGGAAAAATGGGGAAGGCAGGCAAAGCTTCAAAGCTTACAAAATGCAGCAAAGCTGGACCTCAAACCTCAGGTTCTAATATTGGTGAGTATAATCCTTAGAACTGTATGATGTGGGAGAGGCAGGGCTAACAAACATCAAGTGACAAGTGACATACTCCTTTTCTTTGCCTGCAAACAGTTTAGATGTATCTGATGACATTTTATAAATTTGCAGGTTCTCCCTCTGGAAACAATCTTACTCCTGCTGGTCCATGTCGTTATGACAGCTCTTTAGGTAGCATAGCGTTTCCCTTGCCATTATTAATCACTGTCAATTACCATCAGAGTTCTTATCATAACACACGTCATTCTCATGCCGTTTTTATAATCACAGGTCTGTTGACAAAAAAGTTTATCAACTTGATCAAGCAAGCTGAGGACGGTATCCTTGATTTGAATAAAGCTGCTGATACATTAGAGGTAACTACTTTTCTGCCTGGTCCAAAGGTTCCATGTTGTAAATTAATTGATCGAAGTTTTTCTTTGGGTATCTACAGGTGCAAAAGCGGAGAATATATGACATAACAAACGTTCTTGAAGGGATTGGTCTTATAGAAAAGAAGCTCAAAAACAGAATTCAATGGAAGTAGGGCTGCTTTTCATACTTTAAACAAAGTTTGACATAGGACACTTAAGCTTTGAAACTGTTACGCATTCTCAAAAGTTTAACGAATGTTCAGGGGATTGGATGTGTCAAGGCCAGGGGAAGCTGATGATAGTTTTTCTAGTTTGCAGGTAAGGAATGACATAATGTGCTACTTGAAATCCCCATTGATAATCTTAGAGATGCTTAAATATGTTTTCCTTTTTTCTTTCTTTCTATGAGTTTCTTGTCTTTCTTTTATGATCAGCATTCAATATGTAGCAAGTCTTTCCCAATTCCAGTATCACCTCAGCTCAGTCATATAATGCCTTCAATCTAATGTTGTAAATGTGACAAACTGGGAAAGCAGACATTTTTATCTTGTTCTAGTGGAACTTGATAAATATTTCAATCTTTTCAATTAAATACGGGAACTGCTTGAAAGCATATATAATGTCACTTATGGAAAATTTAAAAGATGGCATTAATTCCTGTGAACTTCTAAAATCTTAGTGTTGTTTGATTTTTATTTTTTTTTTGTTATTACTCTTGTGTAGACAGAAGTTGAAAACCTTACTATGGAGGAGCGCCAGTTAGATGAACAGATAAGGTTTTTGATGCCATGCCTTTTCTTTTCTTTTTATTTATTTATTGATATAGTGATTCCATGCCTTTGCTGATAGCCTGATACTGCTTTATTGTGTCGTTTGGTTGCCATCTGTTTAACAAGCTTGAGTTTCTGAATACTGTAGGGAGATGCAAGAAAGGCTGAGGACACTTAGTGAAGATGAAAACAATCAGAAGTAAGTTTTAACCTTTACCCTGAGTTGGGTCATTTCCACCAAAATTTTAGGTTTATATTATTTGACACATTTCTTAATGGTTTCCCACCATATAGGTGGCTTTTTGTCACGGAAGACGATATAAAGGATTTGCCCTGCTTCCTGGTCAGTTTGTCATCTTTTCTTGTCAAAGACAATGTTCTTGTATGATGATGATGCTGTGTTTTTTATGCATGGCTTCATAATTTTGTTTTGGCGGCTAACTTAAAGACATATAATTTATTTTGACAGAATGAAACCTTGATAGCTATTAAAGCTCCACATGGCACCACTCTCGAGGTCCCTGATCCTGATGAGGTGAATTTCAGAGCGTACAAAACTTGTGTTGAAGTAATTAATTTCACGTGCATCTTTCTCATTGAAGCTTCTCCATGTTCTTTTAGGCTGTTGATTATCCCCAAAGGAGATACAGGATAATACTCAGAAGCACAATGGGCCCGATAGATGTTTACCTTGTTAGGTATTTTGGTGATTAATAATCATTTAACTCAGCAATATTTATTATGATGACAAATGCCAGTAGAACAATGAGAGTCCTAATTCATTGCAGTACATAAGCAATGTATAAATAAGTGGTCTCCTCGACGAACAGTTATCCAGTGGCGCTACAACTACATCCGTTAAAATTTTTAATGCTAAATTTCATGTTTAATAACAAAAGTATTGGAGAATTGCAATATTAAAGTCGCTGATCTTCTCTTCTTTTCATGCCATTCCAGTCAATTTGAAGAAAAATTTGAGGAGATCAATGGAGTTGATGCGCCACCCAATCTTCCATCCAGTCCAGAGTTTAACAGGCATCAAGCAACAGAGATCCCTGAGGAAAGAAGTAAGGACAAAGAAATACAGGAACAAAATGATGCTAGAGCCAGTTCAGATTTGAGTGCCTCACAGGACTTCGTTAGTGGGATCATGAAGATTGTTCCGTCAGATGTTGATGTAAGTATGACCAGAGTTTGTGAACTTTATTTTTTTTCGAGTCCTATGATTGCGAAGAACAATTCTTGGGGATTACATAAATTGACATTTTGGGGATAATGTGTTCTTTATTTTCTTTGTTTGGCATAATGGAAAATTATCTTATTACAAGCGCTACAAGCTGTCGGTGCCTGATCTTATAATATTCGAAACTCGAATCACTTGTGGCATGAAGATCTTCGTACTACTTCGTCTTAAAAAGTGTGATCCAAATTCTTAGGTCTCATTTAAGACATTTTTTTCCCCGCAGATTGATGCTGATTACTGGCTTCTGTCAAATGCTGATGTTAGCATAACAGACATGTGGAGAACAGAGTGTATCCTCTTTTTGGACCAGTCTTCAGTAACCTCTATATGCTAGAAGGGAGAGGTTTAGCGTTTTTTTTTCTTCAAAAAATTGAAAGATTCTTATCTTGAATGTTTGGAAATTTCCTTGATACATAAACAGCTGGAATTGAATGGAACGAACTGGACGCGCTTAATGAAGATTATTGCATACCTCAAGAGAGCATAGCACGGCCCGAAACTCCTCCAAACACAAGTCAAGTGCCTTCTACAGCTAACCCTAAAGGAGGCTGAAGCCTCATGAGCATATTTTATGGATCTAATCAAAGTCAAGAGCTCTTTCATAGAATCTATGACATCCAGTCACCCCCCCGTGTCCTCTTCACCACACTCCTATAGGCTGTATTGAAGATTCGATAAAGATGTTAATGTTCTCGGTGAAGAAGCTTGTTTAAGGAACTGAGTGCACCACTCCGGACAGCTGATTCATTGTACAGCTAATTTACAGAATTCAAGTGATCTCGTGTTTCAAGAAAAACATGTAGCAGCTCTACTGAATCCATCCTTGTATATTTCTCTAATTCTTGGCTTTAGAGCAATTAGCTCGTTGTGTCCTTAAGATGTTTGCCAATCAATAAAGTTGCACTTCACGGAAATAGTTTGCGACAAGTATATTCTCATGCGATGCAATGTTGTAAAGAAACCCAGCAATTGTTCATGAAATGGGACCTTTCAAATGGAATTTTCGTTCCCTATTGTTATTAATGTTAATTTTCCTTGTTTTTATTACTCGCCCTCTCTCAATCTTGCAAAGCGAATCACCCACTGGATCAAGAATCCTGAAGAGCCATGCCAATCAATTACTTGTGCTTTCCACCGTAACATATAAATGACGCAATGTTGGAACATGCAGCTGGTGGATTTAGAGTATGAGAGATTATTTTCATTTGCATCAGGTATGGTACGTACCTTGTTTACGCGTGTAAAAACAAATGTTGAAATGAGAACATAAACAAAAGAAAAAACATATAATAGAAACAAAACAAGGTTGGAGCTCAAAGCTCTCGTACAAACTACTTATCTTTGTCCACTTTCTTGCCAATCCAACCCGCAACAATAGGTGTGAGAGCCACTGTTGGAGGAAACCTGATTGGGGATGCAGCCTTGTGCGCAGCATATGCCAAGGCAAAGGTTCCAACTCTCTCCCCCGTCTCATCAGTTGAGATTCCCACCTAAGAAAAAGACAGCTACATTATTAAATCTGTAGAAACGCAACCTTACCTTGTTTAGATTGCAATCCACGTTAGGGTCAACGTTGTACCTTCTGTAACAGCGCCTGGACGTCAATGCCTGCACTGATTAGCGCGTAGCATAGAGTGAATGAGATCAAAGACAGTGTGATTGAGGTGGCCAGATAAGCTCCTCCGTATTTTGCCAGCAATTCCTTGGCTTCATCGCCCTTTGATTTCTTCCTTTCAGGACCATCATTTCCTTCATCTTTTGAGCTGAAAATCTGCACAAGTGACCGCAATGTTTTATTTTTAAGAAAAAGATTACCCAGCATGACTTCAAACTTCAAAGTATAGCCCGAAATTACACCCCGACCTGATCAATTTTTTTTTTTTTTTGTTTGGTGGCCACCTTGAGGGCAAACACAAACCACAAGTTAAGGACAGGGTCTGTTAACTAGTGACTTGAAAAATCAGCCACTGGATTAGCGTGTAACGCAGAATAGGATTTCTAAATTTATTAATTCTGCATATAAACTGGGATAACGCTGCATCAAGGAAGCAATGTGAACTCAATTGAACAAGCAAGCAAAACTAGTTATTTTCTACTTCCTGATGTTTCCTTAATTCCCTCGGCAACTAAACCCTATCTTACTCTGAGGTGTTCTCACAACGAATACGCTTCCAAGTTCTAACTTGCTCTAAGCTCACAGCAAATAACGTTCACTCTTACCGAAAGATGAAAACTTTGGAAAACCTTGTTTATAATCGAAGGGAAAGGGGAAACAATTGCATATTAACAGGAAATAATCGCAAAATCATGGACCCGCAAACTCCAAATCGAAGTTAAAATAGCTGAAGCACAGAAGAAATGAGAACCTTCCATAGGCCAGCTTCAAGGCCATACTTCTTGGCAATCTCCTCAGCTGAAGAAGAGGGCTGAGATGGGGTTTTGACTTCATCTGTTTTCTCTTTAACAGCTCTCACTCTGAAGCTCTTTACATGGCACTTACGTGACGAAGCGTAATTGCGAAATCCGTTGGTCCCTTTGCTCAGAAAGAAAGCAGAGGAAGAGGATGGGATAAGCAGAGTGGTCGCCATTGTTGGGCCAATCAAGAAATCTTCTTCCCGTTCAGAACATAGAGAGAGCGTACTCAATGATCAGAACCGGAAATCAAGATACCCAGAATAATTCGTTTGAGCTAAACTCGTTAGAGCCAAGTAAGAGAGAGATAGAAAGAGCGATAAAAAAGGATAAATTGTAATTTGCAATCACATGGCAAAAATATCATCAAATAATAATAAATTAATAGTGCATCCGAATCCCACCCAGGCCAAATTCTGTGGGCTCTTAGCCTCTTCCACCCAAGTTTATATGATCTGGGTAGGGACGTGTAGCAATTCCTCCACTACAACTGCTTTCCAAAATAATTTATTTCCATTGTTTGCAAAGCTGATCAAGTATTCAAAGATAATTTATTTTCATCAAACAGTTAAGTATGTTGTAATTTATATATGAGATTGATTAAACAATTTTAATATCATGGTTAATATATGTTTTTTGATTTAATTTGTCTCCGACATCATTTTAAAATTGAACTTTAATTTCTAGAGTCGCATATTTTTCTCATGTTGAACAATTTCTTAAGATTCATTCAATAATCATTATCACGTTATATTGAACTTCAACGAAAAACGTTAATATCATAAGTGATTATGGAAGTGATAAACTGATAACAATGAATTAAAGAAAAACATTAAAAAATTGCTGATCCATCTAGAAAAGTGTACGCCATGCATTTTGATGATGTTGCTAGAATAAAAATTAATTAAGACTTGTCTTTGTTTTTGTCTGTTTAGATTCTGCTTTTAGCTTCCCTTGTTATGAAAAAAAGAAAAGAACACAATTAATTAATGTGAGAAATAAAATCCCATTTCATGATAGTGTATTAGATCAACGAGAAGGATACATTGCTTATGTTATATCCAATTAATCAATCGATCAAATTAATGTTTGCAGCAAAAATGCACTGAGATATAATATGTCAATACAATTAATACAAAACTAATTAATTAGCAGCCTTTGTGTAAGAAATAACATGAGATTGCAATAAATATGGTTAAGGAAGAATAGGGTAAATGAGTGAATTGGCTCCAAAAATATTTGTCCAAAAATGTTTGTGACCCTAAATTTATTTTTTGTATAATGTTCTCCTTTAATTTTTAAAAACGATGCAATCTAATCCTTGTCATTAATCTGACAAAAAATGATATCAAAAATTATAAAAAAGACTAAAAAATTATAAAAATGATCAAGAAATTCTTCTCAATCATTTTCTGTAATTTTTAAAATTTTTCCTATCATTTTCTAATCAACTAAATGTCAAAGTTAACTCTTTCTGACAAAAAGAGTTAGATTGTATCATTTTTAAAAGTTGGGGGAATATTGAACATAAAAATAGTTTAGAATCTCATAAGTTTCTCAACCCATAATTTAGAAGCTAATTTACTCATTTACCCTTAATAACATAATCATGATATACCAAGGGGCGCTTGTAGTTCAACTGGTCAAGACAGCCACATCAATTTACTCTGGGGTTTAGAATTTAGGTCTTAAGATATGCAATTTATGAAATAAAAAACTCTAGAAAAAATAATAATTAGAGACCCCATAATAACATTAATAATAATTATTAAAATTTTAATAACAAACTATGATCTTTACTTGCAATAAATTATCTATCATTGGTTAACTTGAGATTCACAATGACTTTTATAAATTTTTAACTAACTTTTCAAAAGTTCTCAAATTTCTGTTATTGATTTTGCCATGCGATAGCAAAAAATTACAATTGATTGGCATATGATTCACAACTAATTTGTAAATATTCTTAATTAATGTTACAAATAATTTTAAATGTATTTTATAGATTTTCCTAGCTATTTATTTATATATTGTCTGCAAATAAAACCACAAGTGATTAATTTAAAATTTGTAAATTTTTAAATAATATTACAAATAATTTTAAATACACTTCCTTCATTTTCCAAGTAAATTATTTATATATTGATAACAAAAAATTAAAATTTGTAATTGACCGCTCTCATTTTCTCAACTGACATTATAAATAATTTTAAATATATTTTTTTAATTTTTAATTAATTATTTATATTTTTTAATTATAACTTATAAGCAAGAACTATGATCTAGTATTAAAATTTTAAGAATTCAGAGTCTAATATTATTAATGTATTTATGGGTTCTTAAATTGTCATTTTCTCAAATGTCAAAAGAATCTCTGAAGCACCCGTGAGTCCTTTATTGGTAACAACAATCTCATGTGGCTGGGTTTGGATTAGTTTGAAATAAAAATATAATAAGAATTTTTGAAAACTTAACAGCATGTTTCCATACATACATACATCCATATTTGCGTGCGTGTACGTGAATAATAGCATGTTCAGTAGCGATCTTAACATATCCGATATATTATGATTGTATTTGAAACACGCCGATCGAACAAGTCATACACAGCTGAAAATTACATCCAATTGACATGGAATCATTTGTCTCATTTGTACACAAGGAATTTGAAAATTTTTAAAGCAAAAGAAAAGACAAGACAAATGAAAATGTGTGAAGAGTAATAGCAACGGCACAAAGACAAAGGACTACTTGAACCTCGTTGTTTCCACAACAGGAACAGCATCATTGATCCTTCAAAGAGGAATACACGGTGAAACCTCGAATTTCACCTTTTTGTTTTTAAACAAAAACTTCAATTAACCCAAAACTCTTACACTTTCGTGATTAAATTAAAATAAATACTAAAAGCATTGCTCCCGAAAGCCTTGGCTGGAGGTGGAGCTCAGGTGATCTTATAGGAATAATCATACTTTCACTCTAGTATTTGGAGTTGGCTTCTCGAGAGTTGTATATTATGTATATAATTAATTAAATGTAATCATTATATGTGTTGCACAGATCTGAATAATAAAATAAAATAATACGAGTAATAACAGTTCATATGTACAAGTGAGTAGTAGTGTGTGATTCAATTAAAACTATTTTGGTGAATTCTGAGGAAGGAAATGAACATGCGTGAGATCAATAAGAGGGGCGGATGCAGAGATAAATGAATGTTGTGTGTTGGCTTGGAAGGCATTTCGGCACGTACGGGCTACGTTTTAAGTTTAGTTTCTAACTTTGCACAAACTCACAAGTTAGCTTTGAATTAAATAACGTAAGGATCAACTCGTGCTGCGCGGTGAAATTCTTAAAATATATATTCAAGCAAGGACCACACATCTTAATTAATTAACTTTAAAGATCTGCTACTGTACTGTACTTGAGTTGCATCAGTGACATCACAGAATGTAAATACTAATAAATTACAATCTGAAAGAAGAATGCGATGATGAGAGTGAGAGAGTGTTGAGGAAGCTGCGTCCCATTATGAATTCCTCTGTTCTCCTAAATACGTCAACTGATCCAAACTCCGAACATTGCCATTTGCAAAATGCCTTCATAAATCCCCCAACCTCCTCTCCCACCAAACATCTCTGAAAGTGACTCTCATTCACTCCCACCAACACCCCCCTCCTTCATCTCTCTCTCTCTCTCTTTGATTTCTCTCTGCTTCACTCTGCTCAACGTTACTCTCCTCTCTCCCCCCTTCTCTCTCTCATTCTAATTCCTCATGTCTTCCACCAAGAGAACTCTTCTCAGAATCCTCCTCGCTGCAAATGGAAGCTGTGGCTGCGCCAGGCCCAAGCCCACCGACGTCTTCGAGCCGGAGCCCAAGCCCAATCATCGCGGCCCAAACCCAATCGGCAGCCTGACGTCCTCTACTACCACGTCCGGCGACCCCAATGGCGCGCATTCCGTAGACGAAGATGACGGAGACTTCACCTCCACCAACGCGTCGGAAGCGGAGACGGAGACTCAGAGGAGCTGGAAGAATGCGAGCAACATGTTGCCGAAGCAGAGTCCGTTAGTGGACAGCGTGGCGGTGGAGAAGGAGTCGGAGGATCCGTACAAGGATTTCAGGCACTCGATGCTGCAGATGATATTCGAGAAGGAGATGTACTCGGAGTCTGATCTGGAGGAGCTTCTGGAAGCATTCCTGGAGCTGAACTCGCCGAGACAGCACGAGGTGATCGTGAAGGCCTTCACGGAAATCTGCCAGGACGCGTTTCCTGATAATAATAATAATAATAATAAGACGACGACGACGAGGAGGAGCAAGGGCAAGGAGATTAGTTTTTACGGTCACGTGAGGAAGCTGCCCTTGGCACGTGCGCTGGCCATGTGAAGGCATTCAATTCCGGCGTGGCGTGAACCTGCATGCACACGTCACTGCCTCTCTGTAACATTCATGTACGTGGGGTTCCCTCATCAACCTTTGATGCTTAGAGCAATGACCCGAGTTTTGTGATTGTGAATCTGTATTAATCACACCTCTATGCTCAAGGTAATTCTATGTATAAATCATTATATTTGTTTCTTTAGATGAATTTGGACTGCCTGAAACTTAGTAATATGATCAAACTTGCCTGTGTATTTCTCCATCATCAATCATCACAGAACAATGCAGCGCCTGTTTATTCAAACAACAAAGTCTAGAGTTGTTAGGTATATTTATAACGAGAGAGTTACCGATTTGATGGAGTTATAAAGATTGTGAAATTTATTATAAGTGTATATATCGAAATTACTCTCCTTAAAAAAAAAAATAGCTTTTGAATTATGGATGAAATTGAAAGTAATCGAAGGGATGAACCCTTGGGGAAAGACACACCTAAGAAACGTAGGGAGAAAAGTCAGAAATTGTTACTGGAATAATGTTGACTTTTGAAATATCTCTTGTATAACACACACACACACACACACACACACACACACACACACACACACACACACAGAGTGATGGTAATTAAATGGAAAAGAGAATCAAATGCTTATGGCGCAAGTGAGTAAAAGAAGTGGGCCTGTTGAGTTTGACACGATGAGGAATGTGGTCCAGTGAAGTAACCTTGGGATTCAATAAATTAACTAGGCTACGTTTTTGGCATATAGATTACTTATGTTTGAAATGAATGGGTGAAATAAAGCCCCTGACTTAATTATATGTAGTATATATAATTCCTTAATTACTGAGCTGTATATGTACCAACCAATTAAAGGCCCCAGGTGAATGAAATTAGTTGCAGAGTTACAGATGATGTATATTTGAAAGAAAGCCGTTGTTTAGCTGGCGGAAGGTATTGATGATGTACATTCACAATCTGAATTCCGAATTGTAACGGAACATCAAGCTAAGTTCATTAAAGCTACCAACGTCACGTTAATTGAGTTGTGAAAGATTAGGTTTAACAACATTCCTTTTTCTTTCTTTTTTCTTTCCTTTTGGCTCTCAAGCTACAAACTTAAACCAATACTCACGATCCACCCCTTACTTCAATTCATTCACAGAGCCTCACTTTCCCAGGCAGTCACGTTCTCACCTCAGCACTGATTTATATAAGGAGCCAAAACATACAAGCATACGTTTTTCTTTATAGTCTTAATTAAAAGTCTAAATATCCCAGGGAGGCAGGGAGCACCCAAACATTGATCGGGAATAGTTTCCTGCAGAAAATATTTGTTTATGAAAATATACGTTTTTTCTAATGTTTGTATGAATCTTAATTAATTTTAATCACCTACTAATTAAGATCATCTTGTATATACGAAATTTTAAAATATTTCACAAGGGAAGAGAAAAATATTGAAACAATTACGTACATTATGATGAAATAGCCTTTTTAAACCCCTTTTCTAAACTGGTTCATGCGCACAAAAAATGAAGACAGTGGGATTACTATAAGTAAATTGAAAGTTGTGATGGTATCTAAACTAGTTTCATGTGTAACCAATTTAAAAATTAATATTTAAACTGATTATATTATGTAACTGGTTTATATATATATATATATATATATATTATTTTTAAAATGTTTATTCATTTCAGAGAGACATCTATACCAGTTATTAAAAAAAAAAACTGATTTACATATGTATTCTAATTTTTTAAAAATTCCCTGAAATTGATTGATGAGTTGATAAGTATGACAAAATTCGAGAACATATCCTATTTTTCCCCGACATATAAATATTGATAGCGCAACTCCAAAAAATAATAGCCATCTGCTTGAGACAAAGATGGAAAAATATCCAACTTTTTGTAATTCAAAGTGACAACATTAAGCGCAAGATTCAGAGTAGTACATGAGAGAAGATCTCCACTTATCATCATCTACTACCTTCCAATAGTAAGCTAGGTAAGGGTTGATCAAAAGAAATAAAAAATTCTAATAAATTAAGATCACGAGTGGCTAACAAGTGGGCACAAACATTTGCCTCTTTAAACATAAAGGACAAACAAACATATACAACTACTATCCTAAATAAAAGAAACCAAGCATAATCAATTATGCCTCTAAATGGATGTGTTACTACATCCGATTGTGTAAGAAGATTCACTACTTCAGCCCAATCTATAGACACATTGATGTGTTGAAGCCCCATCTATGAGTAAAGTTCTAGACCTTGAATAATAACTATGATTTCAGTGATGACAAGGGAAAAGTTTTCCACAGTTGAAACCAATAACCCAATCAGCTGCCTCGTTATTTTTTCTTACACCACCACATCTAAAATTGTCCTCTTAATATGAATCATCTATATTAAGCCTCACAATAGCATCTTTCGGTTTGGACCAGTGACTATTATTCCCTCTTTTAGCACCATGATACATATTAGATGATTATTAATTAATTTAGCAACTTCATATCATTCAACACTCTCCAAATAGTATATAAATTTTTTCTTTCCTCCACCTTCTCAGCTATTGAAAAAAGCTTTTTTTTTTTAACACCTAGAATGTCATAAATCACAGCATATATACATACCCAAACAAGACATCCCAAGCTAAATAATTTGTCTTCTCATTTCCAACATATTGTTTCAAATTCTACAAAATCCAATCTGCTCCATCTAAGCTCTTGCAAGTATTTCACGTCTCTACTCTAACAAGACTCTTCAATTGTTACTCCACTCTCAAATGATCTCTTAGGTTATGTTTGATTGAAAGGAAAGGGAGAGAGGGAGGGAACGACCCAATTTGAAGGAGAGGTTTTTGAGGAAGGGAGAGAAAATTTTAATGCCCCCCCGGCTTTTGTCCTAATCCAAACAAAGAAAGCCCCTTCCAATCAAACAAGCCTTTAGAGAATGCATTGTGTCTTCCTTTTGATTGCACCCCAACGGACACCTAACTATTAAACTTTCTGAGTACAATCAAAATAACCTTGGAACCATAGCCTCTTTGAATTCTTATTTCTTGAAATATTTTTTTTTTGTAATGGATGAAATTAGACTGGAAGGAAGGTAATTTTTTGGAAAAATATCAATCAAGAACCAATGGAAAAAATTTATATTAGTTAAAAATTATCTGTTGTTAAAACTTAAATGGATATTTATCGATGAAAGTTAGTCTTTTATTGATAAGTATCCATTTGAGTTTTAACAATAACTTATTTTAAATTAACAACAGTTCATTTTGGCTCTTTTTCATTCGGATTGTTAACAATTAGTCTTTAATTGATATAACTTTCTTCTAGTGGTCCTTCATCACTATTTTTCCTAATTTTTTTTCATTTTATTATAAATAAAAAATAGGGAGAATCGTACTTAAAGCTCCCAGAATGAGAAAATGGCACCTAAAGTTCAATGTATTCTAAATTATTTTAACAGGCCCAAAAACCTCAAATACAAATAAATATTTTCATTAAAAAAATACAGTTATCCCCAACTCACTCGTAGATAATAAATAATGTGATTTTTTATGCAAAACACAGGACTCACATGATTTCTAATTTTATTCAAATCAAATCATATTCATATGGGCCTGTTTTGTTTTGTTTTTTAACTGTAGAGTTTTTTAAAACAAAAAGCTCGTTTAAATAAATATTTTGCATCTAAGTGATTTCCCAGGCCGTCCTAAATTTTTATTTTAAAAAATATAAAATGGAAACAAAATTAAAAAAATATATACATACTTTCTATTATTTATGCTTTTACGGGATTGACCGACGTAGCATAGACATAGGAGTTTTTAACCCCGGCTGACCTGTAAGCATTTAATGTGTATATTAAGATTTCGTGGACCGATTCAAACTCAACTTTCCAGTTATCTGTTGACATTTGCAATCTCTTCGATTTGACTGACTCCTCAAGAAAATATGCATCCTAACTCAAAGTGATTACCATGTTTGAAGGTTGAAACGTTCAAATCTCTTCGATTTGCCGAACCTTTTGTTTTTTTTCCTTAATTCTAAAATGACACCCTCTCGAATCTTGAATAACAATCACTGCTACGCAATCAATTTTTCATTTTCTTGTAATTTCAATATATGCAACTGTTCGTGTTTCATGTGTGTGTACTGTGGAGAGAGAAAGTATTTATAAATTGATTCTTTTTAGAAATTGTAATTTGGAAGCTATCGACCGGCCCCTGGTTTTCCAGCTTCATTTGAAGTGGTTTCAGATTTTCGGAATTTAGTGAAAGAAGGTTCTGTAACTTTGCAAAAGCTATAACCAATTAGATTTAAGTTTGATAATACTATAATATAATTCTATAATATTAAATATTACATAACTATGTGTAAGAAATGTCTTGGGAGGAAAAAAAAAAAAAGTTCATCTCTCGTTCATAGATAAGTTTTAAAAAAGAGCCCAGGAAAAGTATAAAAAAGTAACAACACAGCTTAGCCTTTTGTTTTCTTTTTTCGCCCAATAATTATCTCTTTTTTGTCTACCAAATAGATCACAACCTTCCAATTTCAAATACGGATAATTCATAATTCTGGATTGTGTTTATCTATAACATAACACTATGTAAAGATCTCTGTTCTTAAAAAAGAGAAGCAGCACTATGCCGGCTTTGTTTTTGTTTTTATTTTTTATTTTTTGGATTGCATTTGAAGTCAAGAGCTAAAATGCTTACAAGAAAGAGACTCGAAAAAAAATCTCTTTATCATCATCCACCACCTTCAAACAAAAAGGTGGGAATTGATTAAAAAATTGAAACACACATATTTTATCTAAAGCAAATTTAGTCAAAAAATGAGCACAATAATTGGCTTCCCTAAACATATAGTTAACCAAAATATCTCATTCTCTATACAGAAGGGATTGTGCCTGATTAATAATATCCACAAATGGGTGATATTCCTGATTGAAACTAAGAAGGAGGTTCATTGCATCTGTACAATCAATAAACACTTTGACCTTCCGTAGTTTCATATCCCAACATAGTTGAAGATCATATATAATTCCCAATAACTTAGTCATAGCAACGGGGTAATTACCAACACAAACATTAAAACCACCCACCCAATTAACATTCCAATCTCGAATTACACCACCACATTTGCCTAAACCATTTTTTATAGATCCATCTACATCTAGCCTCACATAGCCCAACTCAAGCCTTGTCCATCGATCATTTATGAAATCTATATGCTTTTCAAATGTGAACATTTGTTTAGCAAGTTGCAAGTCATGCTTCACTTTGTGAAGCGTCGTGGCTCCAAAAGGAACCATGCCGGCTTTTGGATGAGTGTTTGAGACCTTAACATATAATCTTGTTTGAAATCCAAAAGGAATTATGGAGCCAAAAAATATTATTTGGATAATTTGATAAAATTAATCACAATTTAATCAATACTTCACTATTTTGATTTTTTATCGCATGTTCAGTAGAAGTGGTAAGGAGTTACTTCTGCAATGCAAAAATGATGATGGAAATGCAGGGAATCTTAGAAAATAGAATGAGTGCTTGTAGTCTGTGGAGGTGTAATTAGAGTTTATAAGGAAAATTGAATTATGTAGTTCTATTGTCAATCAGAAGTTAGAACCATATTCTATTACTATTGCGGAGGTCAAATGGATTTTTCAAGGTCTGGAAATTTGATGGGAGCTGGGTCAGAGGCACATTGAAGCTAACATTGATTGCAGAGAAGCCTTGAATCTGATTCTCAGAGATGATGTCATTAGCCACCCTCTCACGGAGGCTGGCTATCTTTAAAGTTAGGAGTTTCATTTTTAAAAAAGTAAATGAATGTGCTGATATTATTTTAAATAAACTTTTTCATGATTTAAATTACACTTCTGAATTCAGTGACGGAAGGAGGGGGGATTAGTGAGGGTCGTGACCCTTTAAATTTTTAAATTTTTTTTATATTATATAAATATTATATATTTTTAATCCTCTAAAATTTATAAAAACTTTATATTATATGTGTTTTATTCTCAATCTTCTTTATTCTTAAATCCTTACCCCACCTCTATCTAGACTTTTGATCATCCTCTACGATGGGTAATGATGAAATGAATGCCAGTATCACTTGTTTTGTAAGCCTTTCATTTCTGTATTTTCTTAGTTTGTTATTAATATATATATATATATATATATATATATGTATGTATGTATCCGTGTATCCAGAATTGTAGGCAATCACATTTTCTACAACCTACCACTCCCTCTCGTTTCTTCAATAATAATTTCTCCACCGTTTTTTCTCCATATTTTTCATATTACTCACCTCCAAGCTCCAATCTTTCGTTCAACTAAACTTTATTTTAAGTGCAATTATGCCTACTATTGTTTGATTTTTTTTAAATTTCTTCATATATTGATTAAAGCAGGCGTGAAAAATATAATGTAATTAAATATTCCTACTCACTCATCATAATAAAGAGGAAAAATTACATTTAAGGATTTAACAAGAAACTTATTCACAAACAAAGATTAATAGAAAGTTTCACTTGAAAAAAAAGTTCATATTCTTGTTTTGCCAATAATGCATTTCGTATTAGTTCTTGTTAGCAAGTAAATTTCTTGTCAAGTCCTTAAATGTAATTTTTCCTAATAAAAATGTTAAAGGTAAAGAGAGAACAACATGGTATTACAACATTACACCCTCCATTTCTGAATATAAGAAAAAATAACAAATTTAAACAATTTAAAAAAATTGGATAAATGTAATAATTATGTCTAAAAATAAAAAATTGGACTAAAATATCCTTATACTTAATCAAATAAGCATGCATTAATATTTTGTCTCTTAAATGAAAACTATAATTTTATGAAAGGTAATTTAGATAAATTATAATAAATGCTAATTGAAATGTGTAATTTTACTTATAAAAATAATAAAATACTCCCTTTGTCTTGAGTTATAAGATAATTCTAAATAAAATTTTGCATACTAATAAAACTCATTAAATATAATTTAAAATTTTATTTTTTAAAAACAAAATTATAAACTTTTAAGAATGTCCTTTATTTAATACTTAACTTATGAAAGAATATTAATATTAACATAAAGAGAGAGAATACAATAGGAAGAATAATATGAAAATTATAATTAATAAAATTTTATTTTTATCCAAGTATTTTATATTTTGAAACGCAAAATTTTTTTGAGAAATATCTTATGTAGTAATTTAGAGTAAAATACTTTAACTACCCTTCTATTTTATTTTGATTACATAGACTCGCCATATATTTTAAAAACACATAATTTAGTCTGCTCTATTATTTTGATTACAAATTTATTTTTAAATTAAAATTTATGCTACAAGAAATTTTATTCACTAGTTTATCCCTCAGGTCCTCACACTAATAAATCCTAAATTATATCATTTTGATAGTTACATAATTTCATTGTAAAAAACATGTTTATAAATTTTAAGTTTTAAATTTAAATTATTTATATAATCTCTTAAATTTATATCATTTTATGCTACGTAATGAACAAAAATATGTTTTTAGAAATTTTAAAAAATATAAATAAATAAGTTTCAATCAATTTGATAAAAATTTAAATAATAAAACTTTGTAATATGATAAAAATCAATAAATTTTTTAATATAATAAAAATTTGAAAATGTATTTATTATAATGTTAGTTGTATAAGAAAAATATTTTTTTGGCAAATATAGATTTTTAGAGCATTTTTACATTAAAGAAAGGTATTTTGGTCAAATTAAAAGTTTAAAAATCAAATTTATCGATCAACCAATTGGATGTATGGGAATTGAATCTCAAATATATGAGGGAGATTTATATAACATATACTGTAAATTTAGAAGTTTATATGTATTTTCAAAATAAAAAGGATGTCCGTATAATTAAATTATAATAAAAGGATAGTCTATATATTTTATTCTATAATTTACCGTGGAAGGGCTATCATGTAACAATTTGAATTTCTCCTTTGTTTTTAGAATCAGGAGTATTATATTTCCCGGGTGTGTAAAATATAGGTGGAGCGTCTTAATGTCATCATCGTTTGTCAAACAATCTGGGCCGCAGTAGTAATGACCAGGATCAGTTACAGGAAAGCGGATTCATGTTGCCCAGATCAGTCCAATGGCTGCTACAATGGACGGTTTCTGATTCTCTGCAAACAATCCGACGTGTTTTACGGCAGACAATATCTTGTTGAAACTCTGCATATCACGTTAATTACCCATTTGGAATTTTCCTTCAAAGTACTAAATTGAACCAACTTGCTTGGCCGAAAACAAGTTGCCTGTTCTTTTTAGCCCAACTGACCAAATTATCTGTTCGCAATTCCTATTTTCACATAAATTTTTTTATATTTTCAACAGTAAAATAATTAACCAATTATTTTTATATAATTTTTAATTAACACATCACTTCTAATCCATACAAAACGCCGGCATAATTCTCCGGCGCGTCCTTTACAAAATAAATATCCCTCATCCTCTGAAAGGCGTGCCACGTCAGCAAGCTGTCTGACCCGGCTTGATGGCACTTCCCCACCGCCCGGTTCACGTTGAGGGTCCTGGCCACCCGGTCCAATCCCCCGCACAGGCTCTTGCAGAACCGCATCATGTGCTTGATGTCATAAACATTGTTTCCGAAAAACACCCTAAGCAACTTCAAGAATTCCTCCACCCCATTCGGCAAGCTGCGTCGGGTCAGGATCTTCACCAGGTACCCGAAATCATACGCGCTGTGAAACGTCACCCAACTCACCGACTCGTTGCACACGAGTCCCGACGACATCATCAGCTCAGCGAATCGCGCCGAGTCCACTCCGTCCTCGACGTTTCGCTGGAAGTCGATCCCCTGTCGGCGAAGCAAGTCGATGGAATCAGGGGCGAAGGCGTCACGCGCCAGGTCGAAGTCGCAGAAGTTGAACTCCCAGATGAAGCGATTTTCGGATCCGAGGTCAGGAAGGTTGCCATCGGGGTCGGAGAGGGTCAGGCCGACCTGGATGAGATTCAAGGCGTCAACGTTGGCCTTCAAGAGGCGGTAGTGATCGGGGGGAAGGAGCTGGCGGTAGTGGTAAGGAATCACAGGGTCGACAGGAGGGCGGAAGATGACGCCGGGAAATTCGGTGTCCATGGAGATAAAAGGGAAGCGATCGATCAATTCACGGATGAGCCGGAATTCAGATTCAAGGTTAGAGGCCCCTACTTCACGGATCTGGACAGGCTTGGATTTGGGATCTTGAGTGATCATGGTGAGTAAAACTCAGGCGGCGATGATGAGTGATGTTGAAGGGCAGGAGCAGAAGAAAGAAGATGAGAGGCTGGATTGATCTGTTGTTGTGATCCTGACGGTGCGGCTGGCTGTGGATAAGAGGAGAGAAGAAGAGGAGGGTTTATATGTGAAAGGGGAAGGGGAAGAAGAAGATGTTGCTTGGAAAGTGGGAGAGGCGTGATACGAAGTGTAGAGCGAATAGGGGCTAGAAAAGTGGGTTGTGAGTGTAAACTGACCAAGTTCAACGCGTCCAGCAATTTTGACTCAAATGTGGGCAACGCATGTTATGAGTCCAATCACGGACCCGGTCCAATGACGGCCTCCTTTATTTCATTTCTTTAATTCATTTTTTATTAATTAAAGAATGTTCACCCTCTTTTTTTTATATCCATCCTTTTGTGCGTGCATTTCCCTACTTAATCTCCCCTTTTTATATCTAACAAAAATCTTTGCGAATATTCGTCCTTCTCTAAACTAATAATAGCATGCCTTTATTAATGAGATGAGGGTTCTGCTACATGGATCATGATCATGAACATATACACCCACTTTTCCCAGCCTCCAAGAAACATCTCCTGTATTGTTAGTACCTTCCGTTGGTAATTTATGTTAATACTTCCCCATAACCATGGTGTAATGTATGGAGGATTATAAAATAGCCAAGATTGAATTGACATACATCTTCGGTCAAAACGGGAAAAAAATTAACATACACCGAACCCTTCATGTTTTAAAGGTGTTAATTACCTAAAAACCAAAAAGTCGTTGATTTTAAGTATTTATAAATTAAACGCTTGTTTCGGTTATAATTCGCTTTCCTTGCTCACATGTCTTGTACGATATCGTCGCCATTTATATAGAATCACCTTAACAAGTAAACCAGATTTAATCCCTATTTAATTAATTTCCTACATGAATATGTATTTTTAAAAATTTAATCAAGACATGCCTTTTTATTTACATGAAAATACTAATACTTCTAAAAAAAATTAAGGGACGTCTGATTAATTTTGATCAGATAGAAAAAATTATATGAGTGTATTTGGATTTCAATTAAAAAAATTAATTAACAAAACCCAATGATGTATGGATAACATTTTCTGAAATTAATTTTGATCACTAAGATGTTTGGATAATTTTTAAGAACTAACTGTAAAGATGAAAAAAATAAAAAATGTTCAAATGTTAATCAAATAGAGAAAAAAATAGCTTCTCTAAAATTGAGTTTCACAAACCAAATAAAGTTTCACAAAACTAAGAATGTTTGAATAAATATTTGCAAAACTATAATTTTAATCACATAATTAATTCCAAATTAAAATCCAAGAAAGCCTATAAATTTCTTTCTTGGGGTAGAAAAAATGTATGATAATAATAAATATGAAAAGAGGGTCGACACTCAACAACATAGTTAAGAATATTTTAAAGTTTGCAAGTGAGAGGAAGGAATCGAAAGAGATGATGAGAGACCCCACCACCGATTAGGAGAAGAGTTTCTTCATTTTTTTCATCTATTTTTTCAATTCTTGTCGTTTAAATTAGTTTATTAAATAATTTTTTAAAATAATAAAATTAATGAATGATGAAAATGGAAAAAAAAAAAAAAGGGAAGACCCCAAATCTCCACCGGTCTAACTAACCTCTTAGTGCAGAGTTCTTTTGTTCGTTTTTTAAGGGGGGAAAAAAAGGAAAGGAAAACGGGATAGACAGGAAAAGAATAGGGAGCGGAATGGAGAAGTGGGGCACAGGCAAGGTATGATTCATAAGCAGTTGGTGAGGACTGAGAAGTGTGCAATTAGGCAGCATGATTCATCATGATGATGATTCGTAACAATGATTAGGAACACGAATATAAAACGCGTGCTCTGTCTACTAACCTTAAATATATACTTCCTTTATTTAAAAAAAAATATTTTTAATTAAATCTCATATTTAAATAAAATAATTAACTATTTTTAAATTAATCATATATTTTTATATTTATCCCTACTAAACACCCTACAATAAATATAAAATCATTATAAATAGGAGTATTTTTTTAAAAAATAATAATTACACATTAAAAGATTAAAAATATCTTACATTTTTTAACATTTAACTCCTCAAAAAATGCTTTGTATTTTTGAATGGAAGGAATACACTGTACAATTCTATGTACATGTTATTATTTAAAATTATTGATATTGATTATTAATATTCATTAGAAAATAAAAAATTTCTTGATTTACGTTTTATTAATTTAATTCATTGTCTTTAAATTAACTGAAATTGGTCTTAATTGAACGCATTATCTTTGAGTTTAAATTTATGTAAATACAGAATATTTTTGGGATAACTATCTCCTAATTAGGGCTAACAATGCTTAAATACAACTTAATTAAATAATCATATAAAAATATATTAATTTTAAAAATATAATCTCTCACATGCAATATTTTATCTTTGCTTATCAAAAATATATATAATGATAAAATAAAAAATAATCAATAACCCATCTCTGCGTATAAAGTAACTTCTAAGAAGGATAATAGTGTTCTTGTTTTTGTTTTGTTCTGTTCAATCTCTCGTATAAAAAAAAAGGGTAATCATCATTTTTTTTTTAAAGTTAGATATAAAAGTAGAGAGAGTAATTAATTACGCAGAGATGTCAGCATCCGTGTGTCTATTCTACAATGTATAGTACCATCCTCCACACGGCGTTCAAGTTGTTGAACCCCCAACATCAAAATAGTGCCCAAATTACCTGCACCCGGCCTTTCTCTTTCAACGCCTGAAATTTAAATAAAAAACTTTTATTTTTAATAATTTATATTATTATTAACATCTTGCAACATTTGTTGATTATTATCATTGTCATTATCATGTCATGTCATGTCACTCCTCAACATTTAATTTAATTTAATTATCACTTCACTTCTCAAATTTTTTTTTTTAATAAATCTCATCTTCAAAAATAATAACATTTCACTTCCCCTCTTTATCTGCCCCTCGTTCACTCCTATTTTCTTACCTGCCAATTACCAAATGCAAATATCTGCTTTTTAATAATAATTTTACTTCTAAATTTATTTATAACAAATCAATGATAGTCAAGATGTGAGCTGATATAAATGTAAAAGAAATTTTTAGATAAACCGAGTATACCACATCATTTATAGTCTATTTAATAAAAATATAATATTTAAATGATATTAAATATAAATTAATTTTGATATTAATGATAATAGAAGAAAAAAATGCAAGAAATCAAATTTACATTTTATTATAAGAATAAAATCACTTAAAAGAATGTCACACAAAATTTTATTTAAATTACTTGAAGTATTTTAATTGAACATGCTATTAAAAGCATGTTAAAATTGCCACCCAAGTCACTTGATATTCTCCAGAAAGCTTTTGCAGTAATTTTTTTCCCCCCATAAAAAAGATGTAAGTGAGTTAGGTATGATATTTACCATAATTAAAATATGTCTCAAAAGTTAAAAAGCTTCTATAATAGTAGTTATAAATTATTTATTAATAAATTTTTCATATTAATAATAAGATTTGAACTCATAGTCCTTTAAATTATAGACTAGATACTTACCAACTAAACCCACTTTTTTTTTTTTAACCTGAAACCCACCCTTGTTGGTGCATTATGTTTTGTTATTATGTGGAGCATTTACTATTTAGTTTAAAATAGAAGATGGTCTAATGAAGGTAGAGGAAGGATTATTTCGGCGGCTATGACGTTCAAATTTGTTATTAATGTTGCCCACGTGGATTAAATGCAAAATTCAAAACTTTGAGATTATAACCGCAACACAACAATAAATTAAAGGTTAAGATGTAATTTTATTTTTAAACTATTTTTGAAGAAGCAATGTTATTTCTTTTGTTTAAATATTTATTGCTGTAGTTAGTGTAATTCACTTTTCACTATTTTTAGAGGAGTAATATTGTCCTTTCTATTTTAAAATTATAAAATAAAATAAAAATAAAATAATAATAATATTAAATGTACATATAAAATAAATATAGAAAATATAAATTGTAATTCTATAACTTTTCAAATATAAATGGAACTTAATTAAATTAGATATAAGTAATCGACATTTTTTATAAAAGAATGGTTTCATATCATATTTTATATATATGAGTTGTTCAAAAATAAAGTTGCCTTTTAGTATGATATAATTTTTAAATTTTTCCATTTTTTAAATTTTTTAAGCTTTTTTAATATTTATTATATTTTAAACTGTCCAGTTTTTTGAAAACCACTTCAATTCCTAATTCAAGTTTAATTTTTGACTTAATAATGACTTAACTCTTATTCAATTCAGCTCAATCAAGTTAACAAATTTTTTGTTCAAATTGAGTCATTATTGATGGCTTCAATCAATAGTTATATGTATAAATGTATATATTTTTGAGTCTATTTATATATAATTTTAATTAAGATCTACTTATATTTAACAAGTTATAAAATTATAATTTATAATATTATTAATTTATGACATTTTATTAATATACTATAAATTTTTTTCTTATATTTATTTTATGTATACATTTAATATTATTTTTATCTAATATTATTATAATTTTATATTTATATATACATTTAATATTTAATATTATTATATTTTTATTTTTATTTAACTCTATAATTTTTAAATGGTGAGGGCAATATTGCTCTTTTAAGAATAATTTAGGGATAAAATTATATCTTAATTTATAAAAAATAGGTCTTACTAACTACTATAATAAATATTTAATTGATGATGGTAACATTATTTTAATTTAATTAATTTAAAAATAATATTACTATAATAAATAGTTTAAAAATAATATTATTCTTCTAAAAATAATTTAACAATAAAATTGCACGTTAGCCCATTAACTCATATGTCTTCTAAAGGGAGAAGACATCAGCGAAAAAGTGATCTATGAAGCACTTCGTAATTACGCTGTTTCCTTCTGCCGGACGTACGCTGCCGTTTTTTTTTTTTTTTTTTTTTCTGTCATGCTGTTTTTCTGTTAATCTTATTTATTTATTCCGTTTTTTTTATAAAATAAAATCATCTCATTTATACATATCAGTAAAATAATTTTAATTTTACCTCAATTAATACTTCTTTTTTTCTTAATTTTATTTCAATGTAGGTTAAGTCCTTTTATTCACACCAAGAGAAACTCTTTTTTAACCAGATTATTTTTTCACTGACAGATATTTTTTATAAGTATCAGAATCAATGGTAGAGATAAGAGATCTTTAAGGCTTTGTTTGGTATCTTAAAAGATTTCTTGATAGAATTGAAAATAAAATTAAAATCGAAATTGAAATAGAATTGAATTTTAAAAAGATATTTGGTATGAAGATAAAATCTTAAAATAATTTTAATAAATATATGTATTTAAAATAAGAAAAGACTAGAGTGCCCTCTTTTCAAAATAAAAAAAAAAACTTTCCCATCCCTTTCATGATCTTATCTTCCCTCTCCCCGTTTGATACACAAAACCAGTGATGGTTGCCACTAAACCCACCTGAACCTTCTTCCACCATCACACAAAATTTGCAACAATCATTATATACAAAAATCAAGTGAAGATCGATGCCTGCTATGCACAATGAATAGTCAAGAAATGGTGGCAGAGAGAGAATGACAATGGAGATCAAAGAAGCTCATCTTGTTGTTCATTGATAGTGGATAAATCATCGTCTAGCTTTAATCTCGGCAACTCACGATAGAAAAAATAGAAGAAAAAGAAGACAAAGGAGAGGGAGCTGCAAATCAAGAAAATAAACCTCCTGCACTCATGAAATGGCATGTCAATGGCACAAAAGAGTTGGAAGCGATGGCGATGGCGAGCGGCAAAGGTGGAGGCGATGGTTGTGTGTCGTGATGGTGCTTCCATCATTTACCATTGCCAACAATAAAACGATGATGTTCAGGCAAAGTTCGGCAGCTAATGAATTGAAGGGTAGAAGAGAAAAAATATTGAATTTTAGGAAGTTTGCCTAATTTCATAGATAGGATGATGGAATTTGATTTTTTTTTTTCATTGAATTAGGATTCCCAATAATACTGATTAACGTGTACCAAACACTGCTCTATTTAGATTCCTACTCAAATTTCTTTTTCATATTCAGGATTCTATACTATCAAACAGGCCTAAGATTGTAACTTGAAAGCTAAACCCTCATGTTATTAAAAAACGAAAAAAGAAGTCAAACTCTCAAGTCCTAATCCCACACTTTATTAAGAAATGTGAATTCACTGACATCAAGCAATGGAAACTCATTTTTAATTGAAAATCGAGAAAAAATAATCCATCCCCTCAAACTTCCAAAGCTCTGAAAGATGATGTCTGAGATTGAGAATCAGTCAATCATTAGAAAACAAAAAAAGTCATCGCATTTTTTGTCATCTGCACGAACTCCCATCGTCTTCCCATTTTTTCCCCGAACAGTGAATCATCAAAATTTATATGCGCCGTAGAAGATTACTTTTTTTTTTTTTGGGTTCAAATGTGGAAGATTACTTAATTAGTTTACATACTACTCCGTTTTTAATATAAAAGAAATTATCATTTTTTATTTACAAGAAAATTTATAAATTTTAAGAAATATTTATTATATTTTCTCTAAATTGTTCCTTGTAAATTTAATATTTATTTTCACTAAATAAATTTGTTTCATTAATTACAAAAATAATTTAATATAAATTTTAAATTTTTAAATATAATTATTACACTTAATCAATTTTTTTAAATGGTGTGAATTAATTATTTTCTCTTATATTTAGAAATGGAAGGATTCCTATCTGTTAGGAATTTCCTACACACATATGTTGTTGACGTCACTTGTCTAGAAGTTAAAGCAATGAAAGACTTGAGTTTCTCGCCATAATCTAGCAAATTTAGTGCAGATCTTAGCTTAATCATAAGTTAGAATTAATATCCGAAACCACATAAGAGATTTGAAAAATACACTTTTGTAATTGGTCAGATGATTCTAACAATGGTGACAGTTATTAAGTCACATTGGAGTCTTGGAAGTAGGAACCTCTCAAAAATCAGATGAGATCAATTTAGGCACCACTTGAGTTTCTAACTATTTACATATAAAAAATACTTACTCAATTTTGAAATGTGAGCAACTGTTTAGTTTTTATTCTCTCTTTAAAAGTTCATTGTAAAAAATTTCAAATGTACTTTGTCTCAGTCTAAAAAATTGGAGCTTTTATCCCAAATGTGACAGATGGGCATTAATGAGTGAGTCAAAACTTATTATTTTTCCAAGATACCATCTAATCAACACAATTCACACGATGGGGATCTCTTGTTTCTTCTAGCGTGACTTGCACACCTCCGATCACTGCCCTCTTCTTTTCAACTTAGTGTTGCTTGTAGATGCTGATTTTTTAAACTTTATATTATTTTTTAGGCATTGATTTTATGCATGTCTCTTTGTGAACTATTTGTAGGTGCTGATTTTTTAAACTTCATATTATTTTTTACATTTTTTAAATATTTCTAATATATAATATTTGTATAACAATAATTACAATTTATCATAAATCAATGTCCTTTTTGATCATTATACATTCAAAAGTATAAATTATTATTAATTCAAATAACTTTTATTTTATCAAACTAACTTTTAAAAAAATATATTCAAATATAAATTTTGTTATAATAACTAACTTTTTATTATATTGACTTTTGCTAAATAAACTTTTAATAAATGAATTTTTAACAAATTGAAAACCAAAGGCACACTTAAGCAATCACATCTTGGTCAATGAACATGTTATTCATAAGCCCAATTTTTTACTATGTAAGTCTACTAATCACTCATTCACCGACCGTGAAATGTTCTTTGTTTTAATCGAAAAGGGGAAACTTATATTCAAAAAGAACTAAGAACAATACAAACCAAGTACCAAACTAAAAACAAAGCCAAACAACACTTTCATTAACGACCGTCTTCACTGATAAAAGGTGGGGTTGATTAAAAATGCAGAAAACATGATTAAGACTAAAAATATGCTTAGCTAAATCGAAATGCCCTTTTTAAAAAACAAAGGACCACTCGGATGCAATATTCAATACCTAAAATCCTAATAATTTGACCATATCAAAATGGGTATCTAATTTAAACATCAACATAAATACATTTTATATTCTAACAATATATTATATAGGAAATTGCAACACGTATAAACTACGATATGACATACACAGACTCTTGTGTAGTTATAAGAAAAGATGTTGACTTTCCTTGTCTACAGCTAACAAGCTATAATAATTTTAAAGTAATAAACAAAAATGGCTTTCAAAATCTAATTTTTCAACAATGAAATCCCAGTTCATTATTCGATCGTTTTATGCTTGCTGTTTGGTCGGATTTAATTCAACTTGAACAATGCCTGGCATTCAAGGAAGACACCAAGAGAGAAGAAGACGATGAAGAGCACGATTGAAGATTAAGAAAGTTTCTGCAACCTTAAGGATGTAACGATAGAAGGGAAGTTATCAGTGGTTAGGTTTTGGTGGTGGTGGAGGTGGAGGTATGGTGGGTGACGATGTCAAGCAAGACAGTGCTCTTGCACTTGGGGCATTTAGGATCTGCTTCTGATAACAACACATACATGAGGCACCGACCACAACCTGCCAGCACCATGGTCCTTGTCTCCACCCCCTCATCTCCTGCCTCCCATGACACGCCCGATGACCCCTCCTCCGTCTTCTCCGACGAGTTGTTTGACGACGCCTGAAACTCCGATGATGAGTTTACCGGCGACAGGTTCAGCCTCAGATCCAGCCTCGGACTACTTTCTCTTTTACGGCTCAACATTTTCTCTGAATTCGTCCCACCGGCCTCCAGCTGCAATCTTCCAAAACCTGGATGCATGTGTGACAGCAAATTCACTAGTTTTTCCTACATGCATGCGTTTAAAACATATATACATGTATGTATTTATATATATATATAAAAACATATATATATATATATATATAATCCTTTTTTATTAAACAGAGATAGAGATGGATTTATGAGAATACCTTGCTAAATTTGAAAGCAATCACAGGAATAATGTGGGGTTGCTTCAAAATTGCAGGAACAGGTGGCTGGATGGTGAATGGGGGATTCTGTGTGGGTGTTGAAGACAAAGGGTTATTATATATATATATATATATATAGTGGATGATATTGCGACCACACTAATTGGCCTTCAATAATCAAATTAATTTGCGGGTACAAGTAGAGGAGTGTATAAACACTACAAGAGAGGGAACTGATTTCTAGTATATTCCTACACTAGTTGATACTTATATTCGGTTTCCAACTTTCCATGGAGGGAAAAATGAGAGGAAAGTAAAAGAGAGAGAATACAAGGACAAAAATTGCTAAAAAGTATAGTAATTTCTTTTTACTAATTTTGACTATTTTTCCTCCTAGTATTTTTTTAGTGTACATCCAAGCCAAAAGTTAATGTAAATGTGTGCGCATTAAAGCATATCTTACTAGAGTCATCAGGTGCCTGGGGAAAAATAACAAATACAAATCATTTTCACGATCATAATTATTCATTAATTGAGTGGATAACCTTTAAAATTAATCACAAAAAGTAGAGTTGTATTTGTCACAATGCTTTTATAGTGAACATGTACACTATACTAAATTGAGACATAAAAGGACTAACAGTATGAGGCCATTCATTGATACTTGGATCAACCACCCATGAATGAAAGAGCGGAGGTTTTGTGATTGGTATTAATTAGGAGGACTCATCAACCAAAATTGCTGCTTTAGAAGGTAAGTGGTAATAAGGAGTGAAGAGAGTAGATGGTTCCTCTCATGAATCACATCACACCCAACGGCAATTGTAGTTGATAGATCAATGCAAACTTATAAACACACTCCATTCATACACATACATATGATAATTACATGCAGCTAATCTAGTAATATGTCCACCGTACACGAGATCCTTGTTACTTGCACACCAACTCTGTCCGATATTTCTATGCTTCACCTTGCCTCTTTATGTTTGCCAGACCTTTACCTTGCGTTTTCAGAGTTACTCATATCAATTCACTGTTGGGTATATTTGTTGTTCACAGTTAACATTTCTTCCGTTGCTTAATATAACTCTTAATTTTGAAAAGCACACAAATCAAAGATATGCTAAAATCTAGGTAATATGAAAAAAATAATTTTTTTGTTTTCATTATTAAATGACTGGAGTGTTTTTTTTAATATCAGGGGCTGAAATATATAAGCAATTTAAATTTTTTATGAGGGATATTTTTGGAAACATGCCTAGAAATATGTTTTGAAATTTATATTTGGAAATAAGAGTAAGCTGAAATTTGGAAATAAGAGTAAGCTGTTTGTATTGCTTGATAAGAATATCTATGTTAACAGATGCGTATGCACTGTGTCATTTCCGTGGTTTGTTTATTGATCAAATCTATTATGATGATCTCCACTTCTTGATTATTGTTTGAAAACATATTGTAACTTCTCTTAGGTTCATCACAACAAAGTCTACGACCTTTAATTTACCATAGGCTCCAAGGATGGCCTCTTTTTTGCTATTTTTCTTTGATCATGTAGAAGTTTTGTTTTTCAATTATTCATTTTAAGAACCTAAAATTTGGGGCAAATATATAGCATGTTATATGTATGAGATGTAGCAAAATGCCTAAATCAAAGTTCTATTATGAAGCACTTCATCTCCACTGGAATTTAAAATGCAAATATTTTTAATGTATTTTGTTAGAATGGTTCTTTTTCTGGTTCAAGTTTTATCTCTACCATACAAAATAATATGAATGAGTGAATCTAGACTAGATCCATAGTCTGACTAATTTTTTCTTGAAAATTTTTTAATGGTAGATTCCCTTTATTTTCTTCTACTTAAAAGGTCCAAGCTCAATGTGAGTTCTCAGAAGATTAGCTGCTGTCTATTGTTATAATTAAGGTACTGTGTTCTTAGTCAATATTCTTTTTCCCCCCTCGGTTATGCATTGAGGAAGGTAACTATTTGTCTTTGCTTATGAAATAGTGACCTTTTGACTCTAAGAAAAGAAGCAATGGAGAACGCCAGAGAGACAAGTACTAGTGTGTTATATAGAAATGAAAACTTTGAAGTTCTATATATGGTTTACATTCTGGATTCATTATGGACATGCGCATGGATGTTTATAATTTTATAAAAAATTTGAATTCTTTTTCATCGATAAATCTCTTCATTAACTCTGACTATTTTTCAAAACGTAATATTCAAAAACTCCCCTTCAGGTTGAATCAATTCTAATGTTGAACAAAGGGAACACAATTTAATGTTCTTGTTTTTATAACAATACTAAATTTCTATCACAGGAAAATGTACTCAATGTTGATTATCCTATTATAATCTTGGATTCTGCATCTATGCCATCCTGAAATGTCCACTCTCCTTTGATTTAGCAAGATTAAGATGAGAAGAGAAGTCCATTTCTATGCTCCATGTACTTGGAAATAGAGTCAAGAATAAGAGCTGGATCTAGCAGGCCACCCATTTAAACCCATTTTTATAAAGGTTTGAATTAGAAAAAATATCATTTGTAAAGAAATCAAGCTTTGAAGCCTAGCCCTAATAGGCTCTAAAAAAAGAGCTCTAGCTCAAACAACCCTTTTTTAGTTGAACTGAATTTAAATTTTAAAATATATATTTATACTTTAAAGTTAGATTTTCTGTCATTTAATTTTAATTTTCTTATATTATAATTTGTATTTAAAAGATATGAAATATTATAATTAAAATTTTTAATTTTTTAAAATAATAATAATAATCGGCTTATAGGCCCAGCCCTGAGTTATTTGAATAGGGATCAGGCCCATATAGGCCAAGCCAACCTATTTCCTACCTCTACTTAGGAGCATTCTTAAAAGAGAAGCTTCTGGTGGAGTCCAAGCACACGAATTTGAAATTAAGATATATCTTAGAGGAAACCTAAGCTGACATTGATATTATATTAGTGTTCTAAATGCTCTTCTAGAAGAGAGATCCAGTAGAAATAAGCTCACATTGGATTAAAAAATTCTCCTATGCGTTCCCATCAATTAATTATTTGAAAATGTGAACATCTCGAGGGGAAGTAGGCTGAAGGTTCATCCTAACAGCTAGAATTCTTTTAGTTTCTGACTCATATCTCTGTCTTCGTTCAACTCCTTTTCCTTTTCTCATTCTAATTAGAATATTCTAATGTTTATTATCATCGCCAAATTTTAATTATGTCCATTTAGATAATCGAGTGCAATTCCACTCTAATCAAGTTTACTTGTTGTTATGCCATGAGACACATCTAGCGATTCTAATCTGTCTTTCCCTTCATCTTCAGCAGAAATATGATAGTCTTATGGATAAAAATGATTAGATAATGAAGATCATAAGGTGATATGCTAAAGTATAATATTTCTTAGCTGTGTGAATATAAAGTTGTACAGCCATTGATTTATTTAATAGACATGCTTTTAAATTACTTTAGCTTCATATACTTATCAATTATGTGCAAACGTATTGATTTCCTTTCTATGCTTTCCAAAGTGCAAGAAATAGGACTGCCATGATTTCATAATTTCTACCCACTAATCTAAATTCTTTAGTTGAGTTTCAACACTTTCTGCTCAAAATCAAATTTATGAAAACAGTATATTCTTGTTTGAAGATAATGTTCTAAAATTTGCAGAAACATCATTGTTAAGAGACTGTCTATGGCTTTTTTTCAGGGTATATGGTGTGGAATGATGATCATTAGAGTTGATATTATTTTAATATTTATGTTTTTTATGATTTTGTTTATATATTTCATTTTGTATTTCTATTCTTTCATTAATAAAATATCTCTTTTTTGGCAATAAATTTTTTTAATCAATTATTATTTTTCTCTATTTATATTTTTAATTATATAGGATATTTTAATTGAACTGAGGGTGATTTTAAATCATTTTCAATCTAAAAAATGATATATTTAAAAAAAACACTACTCTTTTTACTTCAATATAGAAATTCTATAAATCATGTCACTTTTTAAAATAAAATGACATGGTTTCTCCCCTTTCTTTGTTACTTTTCATCAAAAATAGTCTTTTCTATGTCACTGCAAAAAATGATGTGGATAAAATAATTTTTTATACTCATCAATATTATGTCTCTCTTAATAATAATATAAAAATGTTTAAAAAGGTGACATTAAAATTGTTTTCTGTAGTAGTAAGAATCACCTGCCACATGAAAAAATGTCATTTTTAAAAAAATTAAGATTTAAAACTCAGCCCTGCTAAGCCTTAAAGAAATAACTCGGGCAACTTTTTTAAGTTCTTTTTCATTTTAACTCTCAAAAAATAATTTTTTTATTTTTAAAATAAAATTTAAATTTTAAAATATATATTTATACTTTATAATTATATTTTATATTATTTATTTTAATTTTATAATATTAAAATTTGTATTTTAAAAAACATGAAATATTATAATTGAAATTTTTTATTGTTAAAAAATTCAAATAATGATAATGATGATGATGATGATGATGATGATGATGATGATGATAATAATAATAATAATAATAATAATGTGCTTATGTGCCCAACCCTAAGCCATTTAAATAAGGATTAAGTTTTAAAAATTAGTCAATTTTTGGAGAATCGAGCTTGAGCCCATATGGGTTACGCTCACTCATTTTTTGTATTTACTTATGATATTTTAAGGTAAACCCTCACACATCATGCTCATGCAAGTCTGATTCAATATATGTAATTATCTCATGCATATCTTAGTAAGTTAACATTCTCATTTCTCAACAGAACTTGCATATTATCACAACAAATATAACCACCAGTCATTTAATAACCACATGTTC